ATTATCAACTCTGAATGATCAGTGATGTTGACTGGTGATTTTCGAGGAATGTTTTGTGTTGTGCTGTGTTGTGTTGTGTTGTCTCGTATCGCCTTGTGTATATGTATGTGAGAGAGCGTTTTGAGGTTTGTTGTGTTGTTTTGTGTACTGTTGGGTTGTTGCGTGTTGTGTGGCCCTGCGTTGTGATGTGGTGTATTGTGTCGGTATGAGTGTGTCTCTGTGAGCATTTCACATTGGAATTCAGCAATTTCGCTGTGTTTCCGTGAATTTCTGTTGGTTATCATTGCCAGTTAGTCAGTTAGTTCGTGAGTTAGTTGGTTGTTTGGTTAGTTGGTTGATTGTTTGTTTATTTGGTCGGTTGTTTGATATGTTGGTTAGTTGGCTAGCTTGATATTTGCTTTTGCGTTGTTCGTTTGTTCGTGTGTAGGCTGTTGTGTTTGTTTGTTTGTGTGATGGGCCGAGTGAAGTGGATGTTGGTTGATGCATACTGCTGGATGGATTATGAAGGCTGAGTTGGTGGATTGATGGGAGTGGAGAGGGCGAGTGTTGGGTGAAAAATGAACTCACTCACCTGGTGTTTCTGACAGGAATTGAGGCGTGGTAGTCAACTGTTGATCAGTGCCAGCTGACGCAGTGCTTTCTGACTGATTTGCGACTGGTTGTGTTTCTGTGGAGAAAGAGGGAGAGGGAGTGGGTGTAGTGAGAGCGATACAGAGAGGTGGAGGAGAATGTTTTGATGTGAATGATGCACAATTGGTGGAAGGGGTTAGCGACATTATCAACTCTGAATGATCAGTGATGTTGACTGGTGATTTTCGAGGAATGTTTTGTGTTGTGCTGTGTTGTGTTGTGTTGTCTCGTATCGCCTTGTGTATATGTATGTGAGAGAGCGTTTTGAGGTTTGTTGTGTTGTTTTGTGTACTGTTGGGTTGTTGCGTGTTGTGTGGCCCTGCGTTGTGATGTGGTGTATTGTGTCGGTATGAGTGTGTCTCTGTGAGCATTTCACATTGGAATTCAGCAATTTCGCTGTGTTTCCGTGAATTTCTGTTGGTTATCATTGCCAGTTAGTCAGTTAGTTCGTGAGTTAGTTGGTTGTTTGGTTAGTTGGTTGATTGTTTGTTTGTTTGGTCGGTTGTTTGATATGTTGGTTAGTTGGCTAGCTTGATATTTGCTTTTGCGTTGTTCGTTTGTTCGTGTGTAGGCTGTTGTGTTTGTTTGTTTGTGTGATGGGCCGAGTGAAGTGGATGTTGGTTGATGCATACTGCTGGATGGATTATGAAGGCTGAGTTGGTGGATTGATGGGAGTGGAGAGGGCGAGTGTTGGGTGAAAAATGAACTCACTCACCTGGTGTTTCTGACAGGAATTGAGGCGTGGTAGTCAACTGTTGATCAGTGCCAGCTGACGCAGTGCTTTCTGACTGATTTGCGACTGGTTGTGTTTCTGTGGAGAAAGAGGGAGAGGGAGTGGGTGTAGTGAGAGCGATACAGAGAGGTGGAGGAGAATGTTTTGATGTGAATGATGCACAATTGGTGGAAGGGGTTAGCGACATTATCAACTCTGAATGATCAGTGATGTTGACTGGTGATTTTCGAGGAATGTTTTGTGTTGTGCTGTGTTGTGTTGTGTTGTCTCGTATCGCCTTGTGTATATGTATGTGAGAGAGCGTTTTGAGGTTTGTTGTGTTGTTTTGTGTACTGTTGGGTTGTTGCGTGTTGTGTGGCCCTGTGTTGTGATGTGGTGTATTGTGTCGGTATGAGTGTGTCTCTGTGAGCATTTCACATTGGAATTCAGCAATTTCGCTGTGTTTCCGTGAATTTCTGTTGGTTATCATTGCCAGTTAGTCAGTTAGTTCGTGAGTTAGTTGGTTGTTTGGTTAGTTGGTTGATTGTTTGTTTATTTGGTCGGTTGTTTGATATGTTGGTTAGTTGGCTAGCTTGATATTTGCTTTTGCGTTGTTCGTTTGTTCGTGTGTAGGCTGTTGTGTTTGTTTGTTTGTGTGATGGGCCGAGTGAAGTGGATGTTGGTTGATGCATACTGCTGGATGGATTATGAAGGCTGAGTTGGTGGATTGATGGGAGTGGAGAGGGCGAGTGTTGGGTGAAAAATGAACTCACTCACCTGGTGTTTCTGACAGGAATTGAGGCGTGGTAGTCAACTGTTGATCAGTGCCAGCTGACGCAGTGCTTTCTGACTGATTTGCGACTGGTTGTGTTTCTGTGGAGAAAGAGGGAGAGGGAGTGGGTGTAGTGAGAGCGATACAGAGAGGTGGAGGAGAATGTTTTGATGTGAATGATGCACAATTGGTGGAAGGGGTTAGCGACATTATCAACTCTGAATGATCAGTGATGTTGACTGGTGATTTTCGAGGAATGTTTTGTGTTGTGCTGTGTTGTGTTGTGTTGTCTCGTATCGCCTTGTGTATATGTATGTGAGAGAGCGTTTTGAGGTTTGTTGTGTTGTTTTGTGTACTGTTGGGTTGTTGCGTGTTGTGTGGCCCTGTGTTGTGATGTGGTGTATTGTGTCGGTATGAGTGTGTCTCTGTGAGCATTTCACATTGGAATTCAGCAATTTCGCTGTGTTTCCGTGAATTTCTGTTGGTTATCATTGCCAGTTAGTCAGTTAGTTCGTGAGTTAGTTGGTTGTTTGGTTAGTTGGTTGATTGTTTGTTTATTTGGTCGGTTGTTTGATATGTTGGTTAGTTGGCTAGCTTGATATTTGCTTTTGCGTTGTTCGTTTGTTCGTGTGTAGGCTGTTGTGTTTGTTTGTTTGTGTGATAGGCCGAGTGAAGTGGATGTTGGTTGATGCATACTGCTGGATGGATTATGAAGGCTGAGTTGGTGGATTGATGGGAGTGGAGAGGGCGAGTGTTGGGTGAAAAATGAACTCACTCACCTGGTGTTTCTGACAGGAATTGAGGCGTGGTAGTCAACTGTTGATCAGTGCCAGCTGACGCAGTGCTTTCTGACTGATTTGCGACTGGTTGTGTTTCTGTGGAGAAAGAGGGAGAGGGAGTGGGTGTAGTGAGAGCGATACAGAGAGGTGGAGGAGAATGTTTTGATGTGAATGATGCACAATTGGTGGAAGGGGTTAGCGACATTATCAACTCTGAATGATCAGTGATGTTGACTGGTGATTTTCGAGGAATGTTTTGTGTTGTGCTGTGTTGTGTTGTGTTGTCTCGTATCGCCTTGTGTATATGTATGTGAGAGAGCGTTTTGAGGTTTGTTGTGTTGTTTTGTGTACTGTTGGGTTGTTGCGTGTTGTGTGGCCCTGTGTTGTGATGTGGTGTATTGTGTCGGTATGAGTGTGTCTCTGTGAGCATTTCACATTGGAATTCAGCAATTTCGCTGTGTTTCCGTGAATTTCTGTTGGTTATCATTGCCAGTTAGTCAGTTAGTTCGTGAGTTAGTTGGTTGTTTGGTTAGTTGGTTGATTGTTTGTTTATTTGGTCGGTTGTTTGATATGTTGGTTAGTTGGCTAGCTTGATATTTGCTTTTGCGTTGTTCGTTTGTTCGTGTGTAGGCTGTTGTGTTTGTTTGTTTGTGTGATAGGCCGAGTGAAGTGGATGTTGGTTGATGCATACTGCTGGATGGATTATGAAGGCTGAGTTGGTGGATTGATGGGAGTGGAGAGGGCGAGTGTTGGGTGAAAAATGAACTCACTCACCTGGTGTTTCTGACAGGAATTGAGGCGTGGTAGTCAACTGTTGATCAGTGCCAGCTGACGCAGTGCTTTCTGACTGATTTGCGACTGGTTGTGTTTCTGTGGAGAAAGAGGGAGAGGGAGTGGGTGTAGTGAGAGCGATACAGAGAGGTGGAGGAGAATGTTTTGATGTGAATGATGCACAATTGGTGGAAGGGGTTAGCGACATTATCAACTCTGAATGATCAGTGATGTTGACTGGTGATTTTCGAGGAATGTTTTGTGTTGTGCTGTGTTGTGTTGTGTTGTCTCGTATCGCCTTGTGTATATGTATGTGAGAGAGCGTTTTGAGGTTTGTTGTGTTGTTTTGTGTACTGTTGGGTTGTTGCGTGTTGTGTGGCCCTGTGTTGTGATGTGGTGTATTGTGTCGGTATGAGTGTGTCTCTGTGAGCATTTCACATTGGAATTCAGCAATTTCGCTGTGTTTCCGTGAATTTCTGTTGGTTATCATTGCCAGTTAGTCAGTTAGTTCGTGAGTTAGTTGGTTGTTTGGTTAGTTGGTTGATTGTTTGTTTATTTGGTCGGTTGTTTGATATGTTGGTTAGTTGGCTAGCTTGATATTTGCTTTTGCGTTGTTCGTTTGTTCGTGTGTAGGCTGTTGTGTTTGTTTGTTTGTGTGATAGGCCGAGTGAAGTGGATGTTGGTTGATGCATACTGCTGGATGGATTATGAAGGCTGAGTTGGTGGATTGATGGGAGTGGAGAGGGCGAGTGTTGGGTGAAAAATGAACTCACTCACCTGGTGTTTCTGACAGGAATTGAGGCGTGGTAGTCAACTGTTGATCAGTGCCAGCTGACGCAGTGCTTTCTGACTGATTTGCGACTGGTTGTGTTTCTGTGGAGAAAGAGGGAGAGGGAGTGGGTGTAGTGAGAGCGATACAGAGAGGTGGAGGAGAATGTTTTGATGTGAATGATGCACAATTGGTGGAAGGGGTTAGCGACATTATCAACTCTGAATGATCAGTGATGTTGACTGGTGATTTTCGAGGAATGTTTTGTGTTGTGTTGTATCGTACCGGAAGGCAGAATATCTCATGCAGTTTCATGCACATTGTCGATATACTGCACCCCTCAATCGCTCACTCACTCACAGAAACACAAACAACTTTGCTGCATACAGATGAAATCAATCAATCGACGATATCATCGACGTCAGAAATTGTCAGTGACTGAATCGAAATGTCTCTCATTGATCGAGTGAATGACATAGTGAGTGAGTGAAATCTGAGCATGGTGAAATTGTAATAGCAATAATGCTGTGAAGAATGCTGTGAATCAACAAAACGACAGAGACTCACCTCCGTTATCGGCATTGTCGCTGTCTTCTAAAGAATATAACAGACATATTTGACAAAATTGGATTAGCGGGGAAGTTCTTTCAGCAAATACAAATGAAAGCATACTGCATATCAGCGTTCATTGAAATCCACTGTTCTTCACAACAAAAAGTCCACTCCCATATTCTCCACTGTAGTTCACCTAGTCGAATGAATCCCTGTGAATTGCGATCCATTTATCTGTCTGTTTATCTCACAAACTACATATATTTACATGTATCCAAATACAAATATATCCACCTATACATTGCATAATCCATGTGTGTATGCAAATATGCTTCTATCTAACTATTTAACCAACTAAACATAAATCTAACAATCTATGTTTCTATTATCCATTCCATCTAATTCTGCATATAACTAACCATCAATCTATATAGCAATTTCTCTGTCTAATAATCTAGCTAGCTATCTATCTATTCCTATACCTATCTATTTACTGTCTGTCTATCTATCCTCCTATCTAAATTTCGATCTATCTATCAAACTATCTATCTATCTATCTATCTATCTATCTGTCTATCTATCTACCTATCTTTCGATCTATCTAACCATCTATCTATCTATCTATCTAACTATCTATCTATTTATCTATCTATCTGTCTATCTTTCGAAATATCTTTCTATCTATCTAGCTATTTTCTAGCAAGCTATCTATTTATATCTATATCTTTCTATTTATATTTACATCAGTGTATCTCTCTATCTATCCATCTATCTATTTATCAAACTATCTATGTTGCTATCAATCTTCCTATCTATCTATCTACCTATGTATCTATTTATCTACCCATTTATCTATCTATCTTTCTATTTCTCTGTCTGTCTATCTATCTATCTGTTTTTTATCTATCCATCTATCTTTATATCCATCTATCTATCTCTCTCTCTATGTATCTATCTATCTTTCTATCTATCTATCTATATTTCTATATACCTATCTATCTTACTATCTATCTATCTATCTATCCATCTATCTATCTGTTTTTCTATCTACCTATCTATCTTACTATCTATCTATCTCTCTATTTATCTATGTATCTATCTATCTTTCTATCTATTTATCTTTCTATGTATCTTTATATCTATACATCCATCTTTTCATGCCTTTATATATCCATCAATCCATCTATACGGCTATCTACTTGTCCACGGTATTATTCATCGACTGAATTCGCATGTCTTTCTCACTATTGGTACTGACTCACATGCAACACACGATCATCGATAAGCACGATTGTATGAAGATGAGGAGAGCAATGACGAGTGAGCCTTATTTCAATTCACACACAATTACTTACAAGGCGAGGTCAACTCATCATCACATTTCCTTCTCAACTCGCTAATAGGTGAATGGATGGAAAAAATATGTGAAGAAATCTTGTTGTGGAGACAGGGTAGAGTGACGTTTGTGTATGAGATATGATGAAAGGGAATTGAGTGAGTGTGGTGTTTTGCAGTGTTTAGTGGTGCGTATGCGTGTTTCGTGGATCGTGTGTGGTCGGAAGGCAGAATTTCTCATGCAATTTCCTGCACATTGACGATATACTGCACCCCTCAATCACTCACTCACTCACAGGAAACACAAACAACTTTGCTGCATACAGATGAAATCAATCAATCGACGATATCATCGACGTCAGAAATTGTCAGTGACTGAATCGGAATGCCTCTCATTGATCGAGTGAATGATTTAGTGAGTGAGAGAAATCTGAGCATGGTGAAATTGTAATAGCAATAATGCTGTGAAGAATTCTCTGAATCAACGCAATAATATGTACTTACTTCCGATATAGTTACCGTCGCTGTCATCTGGAATTTGAAAGAGACATATTTGATAAGCTTGTTTTTGTTTGGAGGTGCTTTGAGCAATTACATATGGAATCATAATGCTTATCAGCCTTCATTGTGATTCACTTCACTAGATCCAACCAACAATTCCACTCACGAAATCTCTACTGTAGTTCACATATGAATATTGCTCTCATCCATCGATACATCTATCTATTTTACGCCGATGTATATATATCCATCATTTCATATATACGGCTATCTACTTGTCCACGGTATTATTCGTCGACTGAATTCGCATGTCTTTCTCAGTATCGGTACTGACTCACATGCAACACACGATCATCGATAAGCACGATTGTATGAAGATGAGGAGAGCAATGACGAGTGAGCCTTATTTCAATTCACACACAATTACTTACAAGGCGAGGTCAACTCATCATCACATTTGCTTCCCAACTGGCTTATAGGTGAATGGATGGAAAATGTTGTGAGGAAATATTGTTGTGTAGACGGGCTACACTCTTTATTACTTTGTTGGTCATTTTGTTTTATTTTCTTAATTATTTCTACCCTTTTTTTGGTTTTTAATTTCTCTTTTTTGTGTTTTCCTTCGTTTGAATGGATATTTTATCCGTATTGAGTACATTGTTTTCATTTTTTTATCTTGAGCTACTTCAATCTATTACTATTTTGTAAATTCTGAAATTTTTATCTTTTGTGAATTTCATTGCTGCTAGCTGTTTGCTCCTGTTTTATGGTTATATTTGCGTTACTGAGCTCGTTTTTAAATTCTGTCATACACCTTCCGCTTTGTTAATCTGAACTTTGCCTTTGAACTTCTCTCACCTATCGTTTCTCATGACTTATAAACTATAGTTTCTTTATTTTTCAGCCACATATCTCTCAATCTTTGCAGAGTATTCAGTTGAGTGGGGATCCTACAGAAATATGATTTATTCGGTAAATTCTGCTCCTTTGCCTCTTTCCATACACATCAAAAAATAGACGCTCCCAGAAAATTACAGTTGCAAATAACAGTGAATCAGCATAAAGAGTAACACACTGCACATACTGAAGGGAAGATTGTGGTCAAAACTGGCCATTTTTATTCTGGCTACACCTGTATAAATTTTACTAACCAAGAAATCTTTTACCTCTCGAGAGTTGAAAAGCTAACTAAACTCATATTTTGTTGACTTACTTGAATTTTAATGAAATAATTTAATGAATGAGGTGTGCTCAAATGGTGTACATGGAAACAAAATAATATACAGAATTACACAAGGGTTTTAAGTTAGAAAAATAAGCATACAAACAGAAGTAAGGTCAAATCAAACAAACAAAGAAGAGTTCGGTCAAATCAACGAAGTTGTTACCATGCGAGTAGAAGTGGTTGGATAATTTTCTTTTGTATGCATAGTTCTGCTTCCACCAACTGGATGGCTAGGGCTTCTGCAATGCAAAGAAGACGAAATCTTACTGTCTATGGGAGGTTGTTCTTCACTTTGTAGACCACTTTGAAGGAGGCGTTCGTTGAGATGGAATGACCGGTGTTGACGAGATGTTCGATTATTGCACTCCTTATATGGCCATTATTTCCTTTCTGTAGCCACGCTGGGTGGTGTTCTTTGACCCTTTTTGACAGGATGCGCGTTGAACGACCGATGTACCTGGCTCCACAGCAACAGGTGAACTGATATATACACATAGAAGTGGTCATGTGAGGAATCTTGTCCTTTGGGTTTCTGCAGATCAGCGGGCGACTGGAGAACACTATTCTCAGTGTTGCCGCAGGGAAAGTTCTTCCTAAAGAGGTGGAAATTCTCCTTCTGAGGACGTCACTAAGTAGGTCTCCTTTGAAGTCTAGGTTCATATAAAGTATCTTTTTTGGAACGGATGGTGTCTCTTGCTTTTGGTTTTTCTGTTTGATGTTTTTGTCTACAAATCTTGGTGGGTAGCCATTTTGTATGAAGATTTCCCTCAGGAAGTTTAGTTCTTCTTCCATGGTGTCGGAGCTGCAGATGCGTCTGACGCGAGTGGCAAGGGATTTAATCAGGTTTCTTTTCCGACTGATTGGTACCCAGCTGTAGAAACTTGCTAGTTGTCCGTTCCAAGTCGGTTTATCTTTAATGTAATTGACGAATTGGAAAGTGTCACGAAGTGAATAGTGGCACATTCGTTTTCGTACAGGTTCTAAAATGTAAGTGAGCCATTTCGGTATTGAATGGTACGGGGAACCTGACATATCCAGAATTGGACGAAGTGGGAGGTTGGCTTTATGTATCATTGGTAAGCCATATAGTCTTGGTATTGTTGACCCTGTCGGTCGGAGCTGATCGTACACTTCATGAGTGATTAACTACAGAAAGGAAATAATGGCCATATAAGGAGTGCAATAATCGAACATCTCGTCAACACCGGTCATTCCATCTCAACGAACGCCTCCTTCAAAGTGGTCTACAAAGTGAAGAACAACCTCCCATAGACAGTAAGATTTCGTCTTCTTTGCATTGCAGAAGCCCTAGCCATCCAGTTGGTGGAAGCAGAACTATGCATACAAAAGAAAATTATCCAACCACTTCTACTCGCATGGTAACAACTTCGTTGATTTGACCGAACTCTTCTTTGTTTGTTTGATTTGACCTTACTTCTGTTTGTATGCTTATTTTTCTAACTTAAAACCCTTGTGTAATTCTGTATATTATTTTGTTTCCATGTACACCATTTGAGCACACCTCATTCATCAAAATTAATTTAATTACAGGAAATCCCATATTTCTTTAAATGTCTCACAATTTTCAGTGAATTCGTTTTATATTCAATGTTCTCTTTTGTATTGTAAATAGAGATGATTTTGGTAGTTCTTTTGAACACAAAATGTTTATCTAAGTATTTAGATAATCCGGTCGAATATACTTTACTTCACTGTATTTGAATTATTCATGAGAAAAAAACGATCACGTCACATACGCATTTCAAGAAATCCAAGGAATTTATTTACATTAAATTTCTACGCTTAAGTGAAATATTCAGATTTCAGGTCTGATCCTAGTGTTTTCTATTAATTTCAGTTTAGAAAGAACATTAGTTTAGAGCATTATTAAAAAGCATCTACTTCTTCGCAGTCTGAGACTCTTCAACAATATTCATCTGTGACTTCGCTAGAGATCTAACCTTTCAGATTATGAAACTGGTGCGTTGATTATTCATTCATTGACTTGGAATCCACCAACCTCGGCATTCTAGTTTCAACCAATCTTCTTATAAATTCTTACTATCAAACAACGGCTTCACAGTGATTCGGACTACAACGAAGCAACCCTTCAGCTGGTCAATGGTTCTCTGTCTAAGTTCCATTCATAACGATATCTACATTGAAATTCACATGTTAGTAGTTAAAGTGATACATAACTAACTATTGTAAATTGACACTTGATAAAATTGTGATCTTAAAAATCAAACCATCAAAAGTAAAAGGATAATATTTTGACACCTTATAAAAAAGGATTAATAATCAACTCACATTCATTAGTTGCATTGTTATTAGATAATAGGAGTAGCAGGCAGCATAATATCGTTTGTAGTATATTTTTCATGATTCAAAATCTCTCGTCAGTGTATGTTGTCAGTGTTATATACTGCAAAATAATATTGTGCCAAAATCTCTCACAAATAGCCTTTTTATAGTTATACACGAATGCATACTAAGTATGTATGTGGTGTACATATGTGTATCTCAATTTTGTGTTCACCTATCTAAAGATGCAGTTATATTTAGCAATTAACAAAGCATAATAGCTAGCAAATAAAATCAATATGTAGTACATTGGTTACAGAAAAAACAACAGTATACTGATTCACGGTCTTTGTTGCTGTGTATGGCCACCCTCAATGTAAAGGCAAATCAACCAATCCTTTCTCATAAAATAGACTGATGCCTATTGAGTGGATTTAAAATAAGGTAGATTTTTCAAGAATAAGTTTGCATGGAGTAACTTGATTTGCTTCAAGTTTAACCATGGATAGATTACGGTTACAGGACCATTGAAAAACCCCAGGGAGTACTGGACATCTATTTCCTCTCCTCAGACTGGGACTCATTGGTATTACTCACACATTCAATTTCAGAACCAGGATCTTCAAGTTACATAGCAAGCTTACAGATCGTTCAGCCACGAAGACACGACTCAATGACCGCTGCATGAATTATAACTTAAACTTATTCTTGATTTTAGCACAATTTCGGTGAATACGTACCGTTGATAATAATACTTTGATAAAGCTATTAGCATTGAATAGCGAAACATCAGTAAAAACAATATCGTTTTGTTTTTCACTCATTGGGAAATACAAAAACCTTTATTATTACGTACCGTTGATGTTGGTTATCAGTGCTTCCCTGACAGGTATTTATCTTTGTTGAAACATGGAACAAATCAATTTCTTATAAACTAAATCTTGTAAATTATTCTGATTCTCACTAGTGATAACTCCTGACCGGTGGAGTCCACTCACTCGAGAGTGAGGACAAACTCTCGTTGTGTATAAAACTGGCTGGTACCAGTTCCGTTAAAATCACCAATCCGTAGGGTTTAGAATTCGTATGTTCATGTTGAGTCGGGTCTCAATAGCTGAATGGTCTCGAAGTTTATCTTACAATCGAAAGGTCCTGCACTCAAACACGATTGGTGACGTATTTCCGATGAGTCTCAAACAACGCTGACGAAACAGCTGTTTGGTACTGCCTGATATTCTTAAGGGCTTCTGTAACTCATATCAGCCCATCGTCAAACTTGAAACTAGTGATGTTTTTTTCTATATACATGGCAAGCATTCTGCCATTAATTTGCGATACATTATGGATGAAAAGTAAAATTACAGATCCGCTGGAAAATTTCAGTTCAACAAGAATTTCATTTCATAATTATTTGACTGATTATTTATGTTCATTTTACTTGATTACACAGGCTGTTTTATCGAAGCTAAAACTTCTGTAGTCTCAAAAGGCGAATTATGATGATTAACTCATAGTGTACTTAGTGAATTAACCAGTAGATATTACGCAGGTGGAAACAAGAACAACAGTTTTCACAGAATGAAATGTTAACAGCTTCCATTCCGTTGTGTTCGTAAGATCAGAGGTTTGCGCTTCTTTCTGCTTCTCCAATGTAACTGCTCCCACACATACACGTTAATTTGTGTATTTAGTTTCAGTAAACATGAGAAAGATATCTGTCGATTTTTGATTGCTCCAAGGGGCAATTTGTTTGATAGACGAGAACCAGCTTGGTTGCAGGATAGTCTCTGCCCAGTGATATCCTCAATCTTCTGCTGACAGTTACTGTCATATTTTCACCTTCAAAGTCAAGTTGAATGCAGGTGTGCTATTTACCTCACTGTGATTTGCTTGACATATGAGAATTCAGACATTTCATACTAGTTAATGAACCTTTGAATGTAACTATCGCTGTCAAACATCTTTTCGAGAAACATAAATTCTTCGAATCTCTATGTAGAGCGTAATCTCCTACCTCTATAGTATTAAGTCATGACTAGTGCTCATTTAAAGATATTTGAATATCAACTGGGAATTATCTTTTCCATGTAGGCTGCTAATGTGTTCCATGGATGTGAAACTCCGGTTTCACAATTTGTCTTATGTGTATTTTCTCTCCTTCTGTTTCTCCGATTTCCAATTGAGAGTTTTGACATTTCCGGTATTATTATTATTGTTTCCTTTACTTCCTAGAGTAAAATAGGGCTTCACCATGCGTCTCCATTGCGTTCGGTTCTCTGCTAGAGTCTTCACCTGGCTCCAAGTTTGCCCACACGTTTTCATCTCCTCTTCACATGACCTCCTCCAAGTCACCAATTCGCCGTTTCCCTTTCGAAAGTTCCACTCGAGGGCTTGTCTAGTGATGTCGCTTGATGGTTTCCTCAGAGTATGGCCAATCCATCTCCATTTCTTCCTGCTTATTTGTTTCACAATCGGTTCCTGGTTGGTTCGCTCTCAGAGATCTCTATTGCTGATCTTTTCTGGCCATCCGATCTTCGGTATTGAGCGAAGACAACTGTTAATGAAGGTCTGAAGTTTGTTTGAGGTGCTCTTTATGACGCGCAGTGCAAGTCTTTGATCCGTATAGTAGCACTGACTTCACATTGGTGTTGAAAATCCTGACCTTATTTTTGATGCTGAGTGCTGTTGACCTCCACACTGGCTTGAGAGTAGTGAAAGCTTGTCTTGCTTTACCGATTCTTGCTTTGATATCCTCGTCAGTTCCGCCTGTAGTTGAAACGATGCTTCCCAGGTAGGTAAAGGGGTTGTTTCTTTCAGTTTCCTTCAATTTACACTGATTGTTGTCTGTTGTTTTTGGTGGTGATGCCCAGGAATATTCATCACCTCTGTTTTCTCTATGTTCCATCTATGATGCTTCTTCTGTCAACGTGTTGCTTTTTGCTTGCATATATTCCAGTTTATAGGAAATCAGACAAATATCATCGGCGAAGTCCAGATCCTCCAAGTTTTTTTGTGTGAGTCCATTTTATGCCTGTTTCCTCATTGCCCGCTGTTTGTCGCATTATCCAGTCTACTGTAATCACGAAAATCATTGGCGATAGTAGGCAGCCTTGTTTTACTCTTGTCCTCACTTCGAAGGATTCCGTATGTTTCCCGTTGTGGATTACTTGGGATGCTGCAGCATTGTCGTACAGCTGTGGGATGAGATGTATAATTGTCGGTGGTACCCCATAGTAGCGAAGTAGTTGCCAAAGCACCTCTCGATAGACGCTGTCGAAGACGTTTTCAAAGTAAATGAAGTTGAGATAGAGAGGTGACTGTCATTCCAAGCTTTGTTCGATGATGATCCATAATGCGGCGACCTGATCAATACATGACTTGTTTCTCCTGAACCCAGCCTGTTCCGGTCGAAGTTTATCATCAAGTGCATGTTTCATTCTCTCCAGGATGATGCGGCTTTGTATTTTGCTGGGGATGGACAGGAGCATAATTCCACGCCCGTTCTTGCATTGACTTAGGTATTCTTTCTTTGGTAGTTTGAATAAGTAACCTTTCTTCCAATCCTCGGGTACCCTGCCTTGTTTCGACACCTTCTCCATTAGTGGCGTCATCGAGTCCCCTGTTGTCTCTGAGCCTATTTTCAATGCTTCTGCGAGGATGTAATCAGACTGACCAGTATGCGGAGTTATATCGATAAACAAAGCTTCCCTAGACAAACTAAATGACTTTTTATTACTTCATTACTGTGTGATATTTAAAATAAAATTATATCATATGCAATTACAGACAACAAAGTGCCATGTTTTTCAATTAAATTAAGGAATCATAGGTCTGTGGAAAATAGGTGACCTACAGTACACAATCTCAGGTGGCTGGAAGGAGAAATAAATTCATCTGGTTCAAATGAACTTCCAAAGAGAAACCCAGAAAAATAAATCAACAAGCATATCGCAGAGAGCGGTCATAAATTTGTTTTCAGTAATTCTTCTAAACCAGTCTATCAATTAAGATTGAGCGCTTACTTCAATTCATTGTAACCATAGTCTTAAATGTTTAAGTGTGCGTGCATTTCCGTTAGATGACAGAGATTTCTTCGTGTATGTCTCAGACGGTCTCTACGCAAAGACATATAAAATGTTAGAGGATGTATCCTAAACTTATTATGCTCGTTAAAATGGTGGCTCCTAGCACAGCGTCAAGCAATCGAACACCTTAACTTCACCAAATCATTTACTGCTTAAACAGCGGTATTCTGCGACAGCATATACGACGGAGAGTATCCATCTAAGATTAGCAGATGCTATTTGGATTGTCTGTGAAAGCAAATCAAAAGCGGAATACTTATGAGTAGCAGTAAATTCATGACATCGTGATCTCAACTGCGAAACAAAACACGTGGAATATAATAACAATCCGATATAAAAAGACTGCTCAAAATTTAACCTTGCAGTACATTGGTATATAAAATGAAGTCTTTAGTGGATATTTTATCTTTGAACGCAACCACAATTAGTTCATCCACGAATATTCTGAAGAAATAAGCCCTGGTAAACTTATCCAAATATAATCAAAAGTAGCTGTATACATCAATGTGCCCTATAAATCAGATGATGCGCAAGATAGGGTCCAACGAAGGCTTGAAGAAGCCCTCAGGAGAACCTACAATGCCACATAACTCGCGTTCATCACCATCACTAAGTGGGTGCTGCTGCAATCTAAGAACGCATGATCGCCAATCCTCGACACTACAAGTTGCGTTTATCACTTTAAGCGTGTTTGTTTTAGCAAATGCAATGGACGTACGAAAAGGCGATCACCTACTTGAATGATGGAGTGTTAACCAACCTAGTTATATTTGGCTGAAGTCAAAGTACCAAACTGTTTATTAAGAAAGAATCTTGTAGACTGTGGACATGACACCTACTTCATAACGTAATTTACAATTGTCAGCAGTTAAATTAACAGGAAGATGCTGGCTTGTGAAATTAGAATTGTAAACCGGATCTCTGTGTACAAAAAGAAATGGCTGTCATTTTGATCCTTTCATGCTTTACTTATCAATTGTTATTATTGTCATTG